GAACTTCGAACTTGAGTGAAATTGCATACCCTGTTTATAACAAGAAGCTCGAAAAACCATACTCTGTTCAGCGGATCATTCCCGTATAGTCCATATATGGGAGTACCCCCCCTCCCCCCCCGGGTCAAACCACAACATAACATTTCCACTTGAACACGAGGCTAGTCAGTCGCTAGTCAATGCAGAACAAGAGTTATTCAAATTGGTCCCCATATTTCCTTACGGTGAATATCATACGACTGCTGTTCCTTACCTTGACGCTCTTGAGCAAGTCCTTCTCACGCTGATTGGCCTCTTTTGATTGGATAAAAGCATTCAAGGCTATCTTGGCCGCTTTGGATAAAAGAAATATTCACATATTATTAAGACAACAGTAGGGCTCAGGTCAAGCGTCGAACTTTACATGAGCCGAACCTAATTGAAATAATGGATATCAAGGCGGTCGTCTTTGATGTCATTGGTTTCGGCTCATGTGAAGTTCGACGTTTGATATGAGTCTTGTTCAACATGCCTTATATGATGTAGTTAGTACCCAAGCATAACCAGAATGCATCTCGTTTAAGGAACTCCGTAAAGTTCTTTGCTCATTTTTATTCTTTTTCAGTTTTACCTTTTCCTTTTTTCGTTTGTCCTGGTGTCATTTTTACTTTAAATCTAGAGGAAAGAACAAAATTCGAAACGCTTAGCAATAGTGTGAAGAAGAGTATAAACATGGGTTTTTACATTGGTCTGCATCATCATCATTATCATTACAATCATCAAGCACAATTTAGCCTCAGTACTCATCCTCATCATCACTGGTACCATCTTCGTCATCACCACCATTATTCTGGCCACCATCATCTTGACCATCATCACCATCACTATCATCATCAACATCATCAACATCATGTGCATCATCATTATAACCATCAACATCCATCCATCCATCATCGTCATCATCATCACCATCACCATCGATCATCAACATCATCAGCATCATGTACATCATCATAACCATCACAATCCATCCATCCATCATCATCGACCGAAATCATCATCATTACCATCATCATCACTATCCTCCTCCTCCTCCTCATTCTTATCATCCTCATCAGAACTCTCATAATTAACAACATTGTCGCCATCTAAGGCGCATTGCTATATATACTAATATATACATAGATATGATTAACATACTTGTAGTTAGTCATGGCCGAGTACGGCGCACACACGGGTACAGCGAACAACAATGTATCGTCTTGTAAAGGGCACCCAGTCAAGGTATCAACTAAAGATACACTCTCCTAAAAAAGAAAATACTTTGCAAGTTTTGACAGATTTCAGAAGGATTTTCATATGAGTGGAAAAAATACATTACTGACTTGCAGCACGTACACGGTACGACATGCCGTAACACTGAAATGGCTTCCCATAASAATGGTTATCGTATGAGTGGGGAACATACGTTACTGACTTACAGCACGTACACGGTACGACATGCCGTAACACTGAAATGACTTTCCATAAGAATGGTTATCGTATGAGTGGGAAACATACGGTACTGACATACAGCACGTACACGGTACGACATGCCATAGYATTGAAATGGCTTCCCATAATGGTTATCGTATGAGTGGGAAACATACAGTACTGACTTACAGCACGTACACGGTACGACATGCCATAGCATTGAAATGGCTTCCCATAAGAATGGTTATCGTATGAGTAGGAAACATACAGTACTGACATACAGCACGTACACGGTACGACATGCC